AAACACTTTTCTTTCACTTTCTGTGTCTGTTACACCATCGGTCTTCGGAAGCCGTTCCGGCGGATGATGTAAGACGTCGGCGTTGCGTGATTAGTGACGAATGCGGAGAGAGAACAAAACAAAACGCTGGTCACGAATTAGAAGTACAAACCGAAGATTTGCAAAGAAAAATGTCGGAGGATTTCGATATAAACCAAGAGGAGACTGGTTTTCCTTTGCTAAAGTAAGGAAACTTTGCTTCCTTTGCTCCTATAAACAAACTTGCGAGACTAGCGTATCTCAAAGGTGCGTGCACTGCGCATACGTCCTGCATCATCCGCCGGACAATCCAAAGGCAACAGTGGCAAGGAACCAAAGCTCCATCGGACATGTAGAAAAAACCTTGGGAGAAACCAGGCTCAGTAGGGGGGCCAGTTCTCCTCTGGCCAGACGAAACCAGCATGGCATGGTTTAATTCCAGGCTGCAACACGGGTGCAGAGGACTTGTCTGGCTCACGCGGTCTTGTGGTCGTCAAGGTGATGAGGCCTTCGCAGGGGATCTGTCTCTGGGGCGCATCTAGTTGACATGGTCTGCGCTGACATTCAGGGCTGTAGAGGTCGTCTCTAGGTGCTGATCCACAATCTGGTATGGATATGGACTGGATCTGGGTGGCTATGGTGACCATCTGATCTGGATACAGACTGGATCCGTATGGCTACAGTGACCTCGGAATAAGAATGAAAGTGACTAATATTAGCGTAGATGCCATTCTTCTAACGATGTAGCAAGTACATCGGGTGTTATGGGAAGTGTTCCCGGTTCCGGTTGACCTAATTAATGCAGTCTAACAATTTTTTAACAGATTTGAATAGTAAAAAAGTGATTGTGTATTATGTGTATGCCAGGTTAAAGAGGTAAGTCTTTAGTCTAGATTTAAACTGACAGAGTGTGTCTGCCTCCCGAACAACGCTAGGTAGATTATTTCAGAGTTTGGGCGCTAAATAGGAAAAGGATCTGCCTCCCGCAGTTGATTTTGATATTCTAGGTAATATCAAATGGCCAGATTTTTGAGATCACAGTGGACTTGAAGGACTATAATGTGATATGAGCTCGCTCAAGTATTGAGGAGCTAAACCATTCAGGGCTTTATAAGTAATTAGCAAGATTTTAAAATGTATTCGTTGTTCAATAGGGAGCCAGTGCAGAGTTGACAGAACCGGGCTAATGTGGTCGTACTTCCTGGTTCTAGTAAGAACTCTAGCTGCTGCATTTTGGACCAGTTGGAGTTTGTTCACTAAGCACGCAGAGGAACCACCCAATAAAGCATTACAATAATCTAACCTTGAAGTCATGAAAGCATGAATTAACGTTTCTGCATTTGACATTGAGAGCATAGGTCGTAATTTAGATATATTTTTAAGATGGAAAATGTGGTTTTACAAATGCTAGAAACATGGTTTTCAAAGGAAAGATTGCTATCCAAATAGCAAACCTAGGTTCCTAACTGATGACGAAGAATTAACAGAGTGTTAATCAAGTGTTAGACAGTGTTTTTGGTTATTACATGCAGAGGATTTTGATCCAATAATTAAAACCTGTTTTTTTTTTTTCAGAATTTAGCAGTAGGAAATTACTAGTCATCCAGTTTTTTTATATCAACTATGCATTCCGTTAGTTTTGCAAATTTGTATGTTTTATCGGGCCGTGAAGAAATATAGAGCTGAGTATCATCAGCCTAAAACAGTGAAAGCTAACACCATGTTTGCTGATGATATCCCCCAAGGGTAACATTTAAAATATGAAAAGCAACAGTCCTAGTACTGAGCCTTGTGGCACTCCATACTGTAATTGGTGAAATACTGTACTCCATACTGCCTGGTGAGAGAGATCTGTGCTCTGGTGAATCTCTTTAATTGCACTGGGGTCAAGGGCCTCACTAGTATCCAACTCCTTAAGCAGGTCAGCCTGGTAGGCCTCTAACACTGCCATAGTGTGCAGGCACCCACCAGCCTGCCCTGCCTGCCCTGCTGCCCTATAGGCCTTGCCCGCCAGTGCATATGTTAGTCAGCATGGTCTGAAGGGCAAGGCTGGCCTCTTTAGAGACAATGCCAAAGTGGGGGAGATAAAGGCTGCAAACATCTCATCCACCCGTGGCATTGACCCATACCAGTGCTCATTCAACCCCACAATAGCCGAACAATCTGACGTTGTGAACATGTGCAGGCAACTGCACAAGATCCCATTATGGAGATCGCAGAGCAAGCTTCAGAGTCTGGAACGGGACCCTCAGAGTCTGTGGACAGAGCAAGAGAAAGGGCGGTGCCAGTCTCAGGCAGCAGCTCCATCTGAGAACCCCATGATTTGATGCTGCCTCGGCAGATGCAGATCCCCAACCACAGACTGTGAAATTGCATTTTGTGAATGAAATTGCATTCACAACCTGTGAAACCCTCACAGTGAGGGCAGTCAGCTCCTTCAAGAGCTGACTTAGCATGCTCCACTCCCATACAAACAACACAAAAGTGATGTCCATCATCCCCAAGTATATAACAGGGGGCATGGTGGCACATATCTCCTACTCTTATTCATTTCAGTTAGTCCAAACTTCTACTCTGAACACAGACAATACACTTCAGACAAACACACATGCAGTTTCTGAAGACAAAGAAGTTGGTGGCACTGTTTGACAAAGTTACATGCTACGTCATCGTCACCTCTTTGTCCATGGCCAATGGAATTCGCACTTGTGTAAATGTGACTCAGACACCAGTTCACACTGAATACATTTCCATAGTGTTACGGTCCTTTAAATGTCTGGGAAATTGGTCCGCAACATTTGGAAAATAATAAATTTGATGAATAGTGGAGAGCAGAAATGGCCAGAACAAAAGCATATAATGGCACATAATTAAAGGCAGTAATTTATTCAAGTAGAGAGCAAGAAACCCATCAACAGCGCGTGCAAGCTATTTACAATGCTGAAAAGAAAAAAAGAAAAGTAAGGGAGAAAAGTACTAGAGTGGTGCCTAAATCAAAGAAATAAACAAAATCAAACATTACTTTTGGTACACCCTCTAACCTTCCTAACAAAATAAAAATATGAATCAAAAACACGAAAGCTTTGGCGTATGGGACCCACTAAATAACCTATATTAACTAAAAGAAAAATACACAATAGGCGCTCACACCTACTGACTGGTATGTCTAACACAGTTTCACTACATGCATGGGATTTGGCCTACGATTAAGCTTACCTACCCTCATCTCCCCTCCCAATTAGAGAACAAGAAAACTCAATAAACGTGCTAAAAAAGTGGCACTCAGTTCCAAGAACAGCACGGTCATACTGAGCAATTTGCATCTTAGAGGATACACAGGAGTTACACACAGATCAAACTGTGTATAAAAAACCACACTCAAGCACAAGTTAAAAATACACATGCTGTTGCCCGAGAGCTCACACAGTCTCTCTGCTCAACACACAGCCAAAAGTTTTTCGCTTTTAAAGCTTTTAAAGCCACGGGTCGACAGATGATTTCTCGCGGAATGTAGCGGAGACCTAGGAGTTTGGAGTGAAAAGGAGGGACAAGGGAAAACGAAGGCAAAAAAAACAAAAAAAAAAACAACAATAACAACAAGAGCAACAAACACCCAGGGATTGTAACACATAGCATCAACATTTGATGCAGCATTGAGTTCCATTCGAATGGGAACTGAGGAGTGATAGTGTAGGTGCTTCCTTATGAGGAGTTAATGACACAGTGCCTCAGGGGGTGACATCAGCATTATCAGCCAATAAATTGGAGCATTTCTGTACAGGCTTCAGACAATCATCACATCACAATAATAACCAAGACATTACTAGATCTAACCTGGCCTGAATCACAGTACAGAACCTACAGAGTTGAAAGTGAGCTTTTTGTTATGTCTGACTCAAAAGAACAGCCGAATTTTGACAGTAACATACTGTTTTCCATTGAAACAGTAAAATACCATAGAAAATCATAGAAAAATATATTGTGAATTAACAGCGCTCAAAGTTGATACTTAGAGGCTGTGTTTCAAATCACACCCTACACCCTATTACCTACATTAGTTTACACATATAGTCCACCTGACAGAGAGAATGAAAACAAATGACTGAATTCAGAAATTGATAAACACTTATGGTCTGTAGCACGAAGCCGGTTTCAGTTTTTACCCAGGTAAGTTCACATTGAGTTTGAGCAAACTCTGAGTTTTCGGGCTCAAGAAGGTGGGTTGGTTTTTAGCGGGTTTCGTCGCAATGGTAACTTATGCTACATGGCTACCCTGCTCCGGAGCAGGTTTTATTCTGGGTTAGAGATCACAAAACCAAACTGGACCAATCAGCTGTGAGCAAAGTTACATATATCTGATGCAATGAAGCCACTCCCCCGTATCTCACACTACAAATTAAAGCAGTTTACAGTCAAAGAATTTTAGAGACAAAATTGCCAGACTTTTGCAGCTACTTATTTCCTATATTTATATTATATTAATTGTAATTGTTTATAATTCATATAATATATTCATATAATTATTGGTAACAATTTCTATGAAGCCCTTATTTATAATACATTATAAGGGTATTCTTAAGGCATTATAATGAATGCATAATGCATTATAAAAAACCTTATAATATCAAATATGAAATTTGACACCTCTGCTTCACTAGAGGGGGGTCTTCACATCCGGGAATTTACCGCTGGGTGTTCTGTAGTTTTTGGAATGTTTTGAAGGCGATTTTCCCTCACGGAAAGGGTACTGCACATGCGGCTCGGATAATATCAATCTATGATAATCATATTACAAGTTATATATGGTGAAGAACGTTCAGCGGCACCGTGGAGAAGAATGAACGCGCGTCTGGTAAGGCTTTATGAGCGTGTTTGCGCCGTTTTTTGATATTTGAATCTTTGTTTTGAAACGTAAAAGCACAGCTAGATAATCTGATACACTGTTTTTTGACAGAAAAGTACAGTACATTATGTATTACAGTAAATATACAGTAAATATACATGGATTATTACAGTGCTGTGTGGATGAACTGATATGTGTTTGTTTGACGCTCTGAATGTTAGAGCTAGCTGCCGGCTAGCAAATTAGCTCTGCTCTGGTCCAGGGATGCAACAATGATTTCCTCCATTGTATGTGTGTAGGGTAAACATTTGAATTTGAGTATGTCAAATTTAGGCGAAAATACCAAAAAACGCCCTGAGCGTAAGTGGTTAACTGAAAATTGAGTGTTTACTATTGTCATTTTGCATTATTGACACAATATTTTCCTAATTAATGCTGTACAGTTGCTTTGACACAATCTGTATTGTTTAAAGCGCTATATAAATAAAGGTGACTTGACTTGACTTGACCCAGCCAGCAAGTCATCTTCCTGGGGACAGTTATAGATTCAGGCCAGATGGGCATGCCAGAGGATGCTCGGCCTCATGTCAGCCGCTTCCTCTGTGATTCCTCTGGGTCTACTTCACATGCGGCCCCTCCAATATTGGCTCAAAGTCCATGTACCGTCCCACACTTGTAGCCTTACTTTCTGATTGTGAATCTTATATTCTTTCAATTTAGTTAACCGGCATGGTATGTTGTGATTGAACAGAAATGAAACAGTCTTCAAGTAGGACAAAAAGGCTGTTCAATGACTGTTCGAAAACCCAGTTGCTTGAAAATTACTGCACAAAAGCAATTTAATTTATCTTGAATTGGAAACAAGCCATTGTGGAGGAAATGGAGAAATGTATTGCAGTGGCTTGAATATAAGCCTTGAATAGTTGTTTGGTTACAATACAAGCAATAATTCTTGTATTCTCTCTTAAGGAAATTATGTCTTCCTCTTGTAAGATCTTGATGGGTTATTACAAGTCTGCAGTTATGCACATTCAAAAAGCCAGAGTGTTAACAAGTTATATAAACCATGTTTGCATCTTTAAAAGGAATGCAAAGACAATTGTATCCACTGGTTTTGCCTTGAAATGATAAAAAACATTCACAAATAAATATAGACTTTTACACCTGGTGTCACTGTCATTTGAATACTTTTTCAAGTATGGCATTTTGCATTTTCCCAGTTTTGCAGAATAACTAAATATTACAACTATTAAACATTTATTGTTATTAATGTATGAAGATATTAGTCAGATAAAAAATATGGCACATGGACTTAGAATTGGAAATTATATTTTTGAAAACATGCGCAAGAGATTCCTATTACATGAACAATACTATTAACAACATTCATGATATATTTACTAGAACATGTTTCAGTAATTATTTATTGTGCTTAAAATATAAAGATTAAAGTTGCTGTAGTTTAATATACTGACCATTCAATTGTCAAGCAAGAAGTTTACAGTTTGCAAATGCTTATACTACAAACAATATAAGGCAGTTACACAACAATAGCACTCTGTTAGACATATAACTAATTAAATTGGTTCTGGATTGTAAAATAAAATAAAAAAAGGCCAGATAATACATTTTTGACAGGGGCAGCAGGTCATAAGTCAGTGAGTCATACTGTATTTGTCAATACACTTCAGAGCAAAGTATGTAAACCTCTAAACTGCTCAGAAAAAAAAAATGCCGTGCATTTACATATATATATGCCAGGCTAAATTTTTATGTACATTCAGTTTTAGGTAACAGCATAAAACAGTATGTTATCACTCATTTGTTTTACCATTTACAAATAAGTTCATACTTTACATTTGTTCAGAGATGGAGTGCACAGAACTTGTTCCACAGATCCCAGCTGCTTTAAGTGTAGACTTAAGTGTGACTAAGAGAACCTATTTCTTTTAATAATGGCTTCCTTTATTTTTTGAGTTTTTACTCCGTACATGATTGGATTTATAATAGGAGACAAAATAAGAACATACAAAGAGAGTATAACACGAACAGTGTAAGGCACATGACGCATATTGAATCGACTTTGGAACATTTCAAAGCAACTACCAATTACAAAGTTTAGTAATGCTATTAGATGTGGGACACATGTGCTGAATTTAACTCGACCTGTTTTTGACAACTTCAAGCAGATAAAGATGATCCTTACATAAGTATAGAAAATTATTACAACCAGTAGGATAGTAAGGGACATCATAACAACACCATATATATTATTACTTAAAGTTTCAGAGCACGCTAGCTTCACAACTGAAAAATTGTCACAGTAGACTTTTTCAATAATTACTCCACACATGTTAAGATTTGCTGTAATTGAGATAGTGATGGTCGATCGCACAAATGGCAAAAGCCAAGAAACTGCAACACCTATCGACACCTTTGCTGGCGTGACTATTTTTTCATATTCTAAAGGATAGCATATAGATATATATCGATCATAAGCCATAACTGTTAAGTTTGTTAGGTCACAGCCACCATAGGTAAATATACTAAAGATTTGCACAAGGCAAGAAAGCCATGTCATTCGATAATTCTCTGTCAGAATTTTAGTCAAAACAAAAGGTGTAACAGCAGATCCACCATATAAATTAATACAAGCCAAATTGCAAATAAAGATGTACATGGGCTTATGTAGCCCTCTTTCAACACATATTACATAGATGAGTACACTGTTAGAAATTATCATGACTGGGTACAGTAAAGATAGCACAACCACAAAAATATACCTTTGGTCATATATTCCTTTGTATCCATCCAGTATGAAAGAAATATTTTTCATGACAGCTTGATTTCCTAAATGGAGAAAAGCATAGATGAGTAATTTAAAAGCTGTTTTCATCCTTTAAACATGACCAAAAAGGGTTTATAAAACACTAAAACATTTTACTCTGCATAAAATGACAACTTGAATGTCAATACAATACAATACAATGAATACAATAAATGTATACAATAAACTTTAGCCTAAAATAAAAAAAGGATCATGTACACAATATAACATGAACAAATAAATAAATAACATACTGATAACACTGCTGTACCTTTCTGTAATTTTTGTGTATTGGTTTATCTTTTCTCTGTCTATTGCAGAATGACTGCATGCAACAAGAAGCAGCTCTATTTAAATTATGGCGAACAAAAAAAAAAAAAAATTAACTATGCAAATTTGTGATGCTTAGTTCATGAAAAAGGATGTGCCTTTCTGTCATGTAAAGCCTCAAAATGTCTTGTCCCTAGTTAACATAGTTGCATCATAAAATTTGCTCCCTTCCTCATCAACTCATGTCTTTCATCAAGGGAAACATGCATTGTCAAAAGTGTATTAGGTCTTGCTGGATGTTTTGAACAAAGGCAAAAACACATTTACGATTAAATGTGTTTTTGCTAAAAAATTGCAAACAATACAATTGTGGGGTAAACTGTAGCAGAGAAAGCAAAACAAAATTGTTAGTCAGCTCAACTTGTTTCCAGTCCTGTAAAAACAATACATTTGCAAATCCAAAGTTGTCCTATCTGCAGTGTGTGCTGGTTGCAGCAACATTATCGGGATGAAAATGTTATGCTCTTTCTGGTTCTTGAGCAGTAAATGTTGCAGGGTTTCCTGTTCAGCTGCTGTGATTAGATAAGAGAACCTAGAAATGTTGTGCATTATTGGAGGACATTTACTGAAATTTTACCATTTATACACTTATTATTTATCTAGCTAAATAATAAATGAACACCAACCACAGCACAGGAACTCTGCTTCTGATACGTCCTGTCAAACTGGTAATAATCTGTGATGGTCTAATCTATTGAGCAGACAGAATTAATTAATTTTTTTAATTTATTTGAAAATGTGGATGATTCCTTTAACACTTGACACTGATTTAAATGTATTTAGTTAGCTGCTGTTGTACTTTTTTTTTAACATTATTGCATTTCTGACTCTGATTCTGCCATCAGAAGCCTGCAATTAATTATGTGAACAGTCACGTCAACATTCCCTTGTGTTTGTGTCCTGTATTATAAATTCAGATGCTTCACCAGCACAACATAATGTTTTACTTTGATGAAAATCTGTTTTCTAATTTATTTTATTTGTTTTAAGTTGACACATTTGTCTTTTTTTTTTAATTTACCTCCAATTTTGTTCATGTTATTAATGTAAGTTTACATGACTGTTTCAATTTTTTTTTCCATTGACAATCTGCTCTCTATAAAACATCTCATCATTAGTGATAGGTATTTTTTTAAATTAATTTCCTTTGCAATATGCATAAAATACATTAGTGAGAAAGACATACAGTGTGCAATTTTCTTCTATCTGCTTGTCTGAACAGCAAACATATAATATGGAAAATGATGCAAATTTTACATCCATCAGACTGACCGGATATCTTAATTTGGAACTGAAGATGAAGTACTTCTTGTTTGCTGTGATAACTGTGCTGTTGTTAACTGTGCTGTTGTTACAGAAGAGGTCTGACACAACAGGTTAGTTTATATACAAAACAGTTTATTAGGTCACAGTGAGTACTGGTGTCGGGTCCGGAGGAAGTGATGGTGAGGGAAAGGATATGGAGAGAGTGCAAAGGATATGGAGAGTGGAGTAATCCGAGTCTTTGGCTTGATTGAGGCTGGAAGGTATGCGGGGGAAGCACACACCTCAGCGATTAGATGAGGATGTCATCTATGTATACAATGACGAAACGATGGAGAAACTCCCGGAGCACCTCGTGCATGAAGTCCTGGAACACGGAGGGGGCATTGGCAAGTCCATAAGGCATGACCAGATACTCGTAGTGGCCAGTAGGGGTCACAAAGGCAGTCTTCCATTCATCCCCCTCACGTATCCGGATGAGGTTGTAGGCACTGCGGAGGTCCAACTTGGTGAAGATGGTGGCCCCACGGCCTTGATGTATTCCTCCATGGCCTTCTGCTCAGAAAGCGATAGGGAATAGACCTTTCCACGAGGCACTGGCTCACCCAGAATGAGATCGATGGCGCAGTCCCATGGCCGATGTGGTGGTAAGCGGGAGGCTTGTTTGGGGCAAAACACGTCTCTGAAGGGGGCATAGCAGGCTGGAATTTCTAAGGATTGCTTCTCGATGGGACTCTCAATGGAGGTGGAGTTCACGGAAAGGGCCTCGGGGAGTTTCTTCGGAGGAGATGGAGTCCCGGGGAAGCAGTCTGGGAAGCAATCCTTGCCCCACTTCAGGACTTCTCCCGTCTTCCAGGACAGAATGGGATTGTGCTTTACCAACCACGGGCGCCCTGGGTGACTCATCTGTGCCGTCGGTGTTGGTCCGGTCTTCTGTTACGGAAGAGGTCTGACACAACAGGTTAGTTTATATACAAAACAGTTTATTAGGTCACAGTGAGTACTGGTGTCGGGTCCGGAGGAAGTGATGGTGAGGGAAAGGTCCGGGAAAGAGTGCAAAGGATATGGAAAGTGGAGTAATCAGAGTCTTTGGCTTGATTGAGGCTGGAAGGTATACGGGGGAAGCACACACCTCAGCGATCCGGGAACTAGGAGATACAGGAGACACTTGGAGACACTAGGAGGAACACAGGAGGTAAGTAATGCAAGAAGTATTCAAAGGAAATCAGTAGCAAAGTCATTGAGTCCTCTAAGTGTATACGAGACCGGACAGTGAGGGTGTCTGAGGTGTGTGCTTTTATGCAGGCTGGTAATGAGGTGCTTGATTGGTGACAGGTGCAGGTGCTCAGGTGAGAGGGATCGTTGTGATTGGGTGGTGGCGGAGCCTGGCCGATCTGTTACAGCTGTATTCTACAATCCTATTTGCCAATAGCTTTCTTATTGGTGTCATTTGTTCAGCAAAACCCCTTCATAAACCAATTTATGCGTTTCTTTGTAGTCTGTTTGTTAATGAATTGTATGGCAGCACAGCTTTATTTCCTTCCCTTCAAGTTCATCTGATTTTGAATAACAATGAGATTTCTCTTATTTATTGTTACTTGCAGATATTTTGCTTGTATACATATGCAATGATTGAATTTTGTAATTTAGCGGTTATGTCTTTTGATAGATATGTTTCAATCTGTTATCCATTACATTATAACAGAATCATGACCCCTTTTAGAGTGGGGGTGTTTTGTTCAATTTTTAATTCTTTTCTCTTTTAACTTTAAGCTGCAACTCTGTGGAAACCGTATGGAAAAAGTATGGTGTGACAATTATTTACTTGTGAAACTTGCTTGTTCAAAAACCTCTTTGAATAATACTTATGGCATTTATGTTAATGTGATGACAGCACTGATTCCATTGATGCTAATTATTTATTCATATACAAGAATTCTAAAAATATGTATGAGTTCTACTAAAGAAGCGAAGCAGAAGGCTCTAAGCACCTGTGCACCACACATAATATCTCTTTTAAACTTTTCTTTGGGCTGCTTCTTTGAAACAGTGCAAAGCAGGTTTGATAATATCAGAATGCCAGCTTTGTTACGTATAATCATTTCAGTCTATTTCTTGATGTGTCAGCCAGTGCTTAACCCTATTATGTATGGAATAAGACTTAAAAAGTATGTAAAACCTTGATTGTATCAAAAGTGGGTATTACATGAACAAAAATATTTTTTTTTCTGTTTTAAGAACTGTCATTATGGTATTTCAGTGTTTTTTTAAAAATGTTTCAGATATTAACCTAAAATGTTTAATCAAAACAACATTTATATTATTAATTAATGGTAATATACTGTGTTAATCAGTATGGCACAGGTCAAAATTAGTTCCTTTTTACTTTGAATGTGACGATAGCATCAATATTGCTATAAAATATATATTTTTTTTGTTTCAATGAAACAAACCTTTTTGTGTGTGTGTGTGTGTGTGTGTGTGTTCAAAAATAAACTTGACATTTATTGAAGTTGTTTTATTTTGCATAAAATATAAAACAGTTTACATTTGTTTTTAAAGTGTTTTTAAAATGTTAAGTGTGCTGGCTTCATTGCCCACAGCTTGTAAAAATACCAGCAAGGAACACCATAGTTTCATAGTAGGGTAAGACGGGGTAAAATGCAAGGTAGTGTTGCTATTATGGCATATTTTCAATCAAAATATAGGCAATAAATGTGTATATATTATTATTATTATTATATTCATGTAAGTCATAGAATAAATATACCTTTCATATGAATCTCTTTTATTGTGATTCTGCTTTGTCTGTTATTGTCTGTCATTCAATTATTCAACTAAACTGTCAAAATGTAATTTTAAATAGAATAGTTGATTTAGTGTTTTACATGAATGACACTTTAAAAAGGGGTGGTACAGTGACTCGGTGGGTAGCACTGTTGCCTCACAGGAAAAGGAGTTTGCATGCTCTTTCTGTCCAAAAACATGCAACATAGGGGAATTGGACACTATTCCAATTCAGGGTGTCCCATGCCTGTGCCACGAGACAATGGAATTGGCTAATAATGTTGTTATTATAATAATAATATAATATAAATAATATAATATTAATAAGAATTATATCAAAAGTCATTTATACATTCTGTAAAAGTTTAGCCAGGTAGTTTAGCTACTTTTGAGGTAAGATAGCCTCTTTGAACAATTTTACATTTTGTTCTATAACAACTAAATTTGAAATAGTTTTCATTTATTTCCTATAATAACACATTGGCTGATGTGTCATTATCCTGCACATCCCTTACCATAAAGAAGTATACTTCAGGTTTATTTTATTAAGTATACTTAAGTAAAGTTCAAGTAAATTTTTAAGTATACTTTGTGTCACGTTTATGTTCTGTTCTCCCTGCCTTGACCTAGTTTCCCTGTGTTGCTTGATTAGTTATTAGTTTCCATCTGTGTTCATTAATCATCTTATTAGTCCATCGTTTGGTTTAGTATTTATAGCCCTGCCTTTCCTGAGTTTCTTTGTCCTGTCTCCGTCGTGTAAAGAGGTTGTTTTCTCCTACTGTCCCATGTGGATTTATTAAAGACTCCGTTTGATTGACTATCTGCCTCCTTCGTACTCTTTCAAGCTCCTTTCCCCAGCAACCCATGACAGAAGACAGGACCTACAAAGGAGATGGACTGAGCTGAGGATTTTTTACTAAACATCCAGCAGGATGGAAGGCCTTTGGAGCGATATGTGGAGGAGTTCCTGAGTATCTTCCATCTGGTGAGCTGGAGTGATCATATGCTTAATGCGTTCTTCCGGATGGGACTGGACGATGATAATTTATTCTGATTCTTGTCTCCAGATGATTGTTATAGACCCGTAGCAGACTTTATTAATTTAGTTCTCGATTTAAATTGCTCTGATTTCTTTGAAGTAAATAATGATAACCATTCAGTCCCTATCCGGAGGCACGTTGGCACTCCAGCTCACCATAAACCAGCACCCTCCACATACCGCTCCAATGAGCTTATAGCCCTGCCTTTCCTGAGTTTCTTTGTCCTGTCTCCGTCGTGTAAAGAGGTTGTTTTCTCCTACTGTCCCATGTGGATTTATTAAAGACTCCGTTTGATTGACTATCTGCCTCCTTCGTACTCTTTCAAGCTCCTTTCCCCAGCAACCCATGACAGAAGACAGGACCTACAAAGGAGATGGACTGAGCTGAGGATTTTTTACTAAACATCCAGCAGGATGGAAGGCCTTTGGAGCGATATGTGGAGGAGTTCCTGAGTATCTTCCATCTGGTGAGCTGGAGTGATCATATGCTTAATGCGTTCTTCCGGATGGGACTGGACGATGATAATTTATTCTGATTCTTGTCTCCAGATGATTGTTATAGACCCGTAGCAGACTTTATTAATTTAGTTCTCGATTTAAATTGCTCTGATTTCTTTGAAGTAAATAATGATAACCATTCAGTCCCTATCCGGAGGCACGTTGGCACTCCAGCTCACCATAAACCAGCACCCTCCACATACCGCTCCAATGAGCCCGCTCCCTTCGTTCCACCCGTGCTTCCCTGATCCCATCTAAGATCCATTCCAGCCCTCAGCCCAGAAAGAGGCACCAGCGCTCCCTCCAGAGTCCACTCCAGCGTGCCTCTCAGCGCTCCTGGATTTGGCGCTTCCTCCGGATTTCTCGGCCCCTATCCTCTCTCCTGAGTCCGCTCCAGTGTCGGCTCCAGCCCCTGAGTCCGCTCCTGTTCTCAAATCAAGCCCAGAGAGGGCTACTGTTCCCCCGTTTGGCCCAGGGAGGGCCACAGATCCCAAGTCCAGCCCTCCATCGTCTCCTTTGTCTCCGCTGGTCCCGTCCAGCCCTCCATCGTCTCCTGAGCCCCCCGTGTTAGCCAGCTCCGCTCCTCCAGAGCGCACTCCAGCACCCGCTCCTCCAGAGAGCACTCCAGAATCCCTCCGGGCATCGAAAGATAATTATTTTCCCCTGGACTACCTGCTCCACCATGGCTCACTAGTCTGCATGCTCTGCCATGGCCCTCTGAGTTACCTGCTCTGCCATGGCCTCCTGAACTCCCTGAACCGCCCTGGAGGCCTTCCTTGTCTCCGCCCTGCACCAGCAGGATGCACCTTCGGGGAGGGGGGCGATATGTCACGTTTCTGTTCTCCCTACCTTGACCTAGTTTTCCTGTGTTGCTTGATTAGTTTATTAGTTTCCACCTGTGTTCATTTAATCATCTTATTAGTCCATCGTTTGGTTTAGTATTTATAGCCCTGCCTCTCCTCAGTTTCTTTGTCCTGTCTCCGTCGTGTAAAGAGGTTGTTTTCTCCTACTTTCCCATGTGGATTTATTAAAGGCTCCATTTGTTTGACTATCTGCCTCCTTCGTACTCCTTCAAGCTCCTTTCCCCAGCAACCCGTGACATTATGTAGGAAGTATACAAATATCAGTGGACTAGTAGTATACTTGTAAGTGTACTATTTCAATACTCCTTGGGACTAAATTGGCCCACTTTCTAGTATATAAGTGTATATTTTTAAGTATAACAGTATTAAACTTTGAGTTCACAACTAGTTTACATCTATGTTTTTAGTTTGTA